CCTATAAGAGAAAAATGAAAACGATTTTAGAAAAACATGTGAAAGTTGCGCCTTTTTTTTTCTTTAATCAGACACACACTTCGTTAGCAAGGTACAAAAGTTTTTTTGTTTTTTATATATATTTTCTAGTTTTCCGCCAGCAGTTTGAACCACGTGGTCTATATAAAATTCACCCCTTTCGGTGTTGAATATTTCAAAATCCTTTCTTACCCCTGTACCAAATTTTAAATTTCTGGGTAGGTACAGTACTTTTGGTTGTGCGTTGATATATAAGTCAGTCAGGTTTGCCTTTAATATATAAAGATTTTATATAATGCAGAATATCAAGATATCTAAGGCAACAAACAATTGTTCTATCTAACAGATATCTGACAATGCCATAAAAAGGCTATTAAGCCAATATGGCACAGCTAATATAAATTTATTTTTAATTTTATTTTGTATTATGTATTTGCCAAATAAATATTTCATTCAATTATAATGTAATGCACGCATTCTGTCTAATTACAAAGAGTTTCTCCGTACTTCACAAGGCATGTTAAGCCTTCAGTAACGGCTGCATCTCCAATCGCTAATAACTACCAATCCACATTTGGCCAGCTTAGTGGGTTCTTTCTCCCTCTTCAATTTGATTCGATTCTGTCCGTTATTTTGGCTTTTACCATAGCAGATATAACTTGATACAACATTTTCTTTTTATATTTTTTCATTATTATTATAATAATATGCACAAGTTTTTACGTCTGCGTAATAATACTCTTTAAACGTCTAAAATACTTGGTTCACTCGACTGCATAAAATATAATATTCGTTAGATAATATGCATACAACTTGAATTTGATCAAAATACGTTTATATCTAAACTGTAAATTGATTATCTATATAATATAAAATTTTAATGCTAACATTATTTATATATTGTATTGTCTCCTCGTGAACGTGTGACATGTGACAGAACAGATGAATTTTAATAATTCCGTTGACATAATTAATGCCAAATAATTAGCACAATTAATATTAATGCCATTTCAAATACGTTTTTGCATCTTCAAATCTTCTTTGCTAATCTAGAAATGGAAAAAAACTCAGAGAAACTTCAGGTGATATGCAAATTATAAGATTCAACAGATAAAACAATAATTATAATTAATTATTTATCCAAGCCAAAATTAAAAATTTACAATATAAATAGCATCTGTAGCCAAGTTAGTCGATCACTGCACTTCGGTTTACAGCGCCCTCCCAGCGTTTTTAGTATTGACACTATGAGTTTAAATGATAATCATTGAAAATTATATAAAACATTTATATTTAAAAAATGTTTGTCAATTATAATTTTTTTAGGCAAAATGTCTGAATGTGGAAATGTGTATTACAACTAAGTACATTGTCATTCGCAAAGGTTTTCTATCTATCATCTCTGTCCCGGGTTCTGGTCCCTATCGGTCAATGTTGAATTTATATTTTCTATATTGTCTCCTATCTGGGTGTTGTGTTACCTTCGCTATCTTCGATTTTTTATAATACAAGGTGTTAAAGGCTTCCTCTAGGAACTGAATAATTTATTTATCTGATTTTAGTATTGTTGTCAATTCTTAATCTGATATTATGTAAGGTATATTTAATCCATGCTTTATAACTAAAATTTAAGTTAGAAGTGTCAAAGTTACAATTGAACATAAGGGAATGGTATATAAAAAATACTATATAAAATAATTTGCTTTCAATTTATTGTCATTCGTATAAATTTAAAGTATTATTGCTTATTTGTATACACACATACATTATACTCATTTAAAATCGAAGTTTGTCACGATGTCTTATCTATATAACATCTCTCCAATAATGCAGGACATTTTTGCATAAACATCTAATGCGTAGGTACGCGTACATATCATAGGCATTTAATGAGAGTCCTAGAAAACTTTGCATATAATCATACCTTTAATTAAGCTTACGTAAGTGGATCAAGCATCAACATTAGGAAGACAAGCTGGACGAATGGATTCAAATCTAATATGGTGAGGAGGGGGAATATTGTGAAATACATGGGGCATCGCCAACTCTGACCCCTGTGAAGCTAGTTCTGCGTTTGGCATTTGAAGAACTAATGAAATATCCACCGGTAAGACAGAATTTATTTTAATCACTTCTATGTGCGAATTTACTATTCGATTCGCATTAAAGGAAACAATTTGAATAATGTAATAATTTAAATTTTATAGTGTAGGTATATTACTTTTTGACGTAAGACGACAGATTCGACTATTTCGATGAAATTACTAAATGTATCTTTGAGACTGTTAAAAACAATAATAAAAAATCAAAGTCTTGTTTATAGTCTAACTTAGGTTTTAAGTAGGTTGATGTTGGTGTTCCACGTTTTTTGAAATGACGTAAAATGACGTAAAAGCATTTTTTTTATAAACCTATATCTTAGTTGATCGTAAATATCTCGTTGGTCGTTTCAGACTTTAATTAGTAAGGAGGCGTTTAAATAGTCGACCTTAACCGGGGGCATCATTATAATGAGGGTAAGTATAAGTAAAAAAAGAGTGAAAAATATATAGTAGAATATTCCTATTGTGCAAGTAATAACTCTGAATACAATTACTTATTTTTAATATAGGCACTTACCGACTTATAGCATTTTTCATTAAGAATATGTTTCAGTATACCATAGTGAATACAAAATTGATCAAATATAATAATGGTATATGGGTACTTGTTAATAGTCCCTCTATTAGAAAAACCACAGTGTGCAAGTGGATTTTCTAAATAAAAAAGGGACAAGTGGACAAATTACGAAGCACAAACCCAGACTAGTAGCTAAAGGCTTCACGCAAGTAACTGCCATAGATTACTGTGAAACTTTTTCACCAGTTGCTAGACTTCAGTCTGATTTTTACCGGCATTTGCTGCTCAACACAAACTTCAAGTTGATCACTTAGAGAAACCGTATTTCTTAATGGTGATCTTGGTGAGGAAATATACATGGAGCTACCCGAAAGGTTCTCTACTGACCTAGAAGGCAAAGTTTATCTACTAAAAGAGGCTCTCTATGATATCAAACAAGCCCCATGTCAATGGAATATCTAAGTTTGTGAAGCTATGAACAAACTTGATTTAAAACAAGCTACAATTGAACTCTGTATATATTACAAGTGAGATGGCAATTATATCCTCGTATTAATAGATTGTAACGGTGTGCCATGCCACCGTTTGTTTTCCTAGGTTTCAGTATGCAAACTTTTTGTTTTTGAAATTCAACATCATTTCATTTTATTATTCGTCTTTCGTAATTTAAAATTTTGACTAATCAATTATACTCTTTATGGATGTCAGTTCGTAAGAAATTCTTCTATGCACAACATGAAAATTAATATACAGTATTAATCGTATTAATTTTTATTATATAATTTTAAAATAATTTATTGATTGTGATAAAGAATGTGATATTGTGATACAAATTATATAACATATGTACTAAATTGCAATCTGTATTTTGGACGATGCAAGAGTTTAACTAGAAGCCCGACAAGGGGTATGTATTCGTTTATTTGATAATTTGTATGTATTAGTTAGGTAACTTACGAACTGTTTTTTTAAATTTAATTTTTGTTTGTTACTGTTTCTTATTTACCCTTATATAATTAATAAATCTATACTCAAGCTAATCAGCCTTTTTAATTGACCCAAGCACCGAACCCGTCACAAAATGATTTCTTGATTGTCCTTTAAATGACGCAATTAAGAATTAAAAAATGAGCTCAAAAACAGTTAATTATTAAAGACCTTGGTACTCTCAAGAATTGTCTTGGAAAAAGAGTAACACAAAATTTAGATTCAATAACTCTCGACCAAACCAAATATATTGAAAAAATAATTACCTAATATCGGCATGACTGATGCAATTTCATGACTATACTCCACTGGAACCTGACCTCAAACTAAACCTTGCAAAGAAGGAAGAAGAAACTAATGAGGTCCCTTATCAAGAGCTTATCGGCTCGCTAATGTACATTGCTATATGTACATTGCTCACTCCGTCTCGTACCTTTCAAAGTTCAATGCACATTTCGGGGAGGTACACTGAAAGGCCGCTAAGCGAGTTCTTCGCTACCTTAGGGGTACCACGAGCATAAAGTTCCATTTCATACCATCAGACCTATTTCATCCTGTGTGTTATATTAATACTGATTATGGAACCAATCTTGTGGACTGACGTTCATGCACCAGTTTTGTATTCCTAATGAGTGGTCTTTGTCATGGGAAGCTCGTTAGCAAGGCACAGTCGCGCTTTCGACCACCGAAACCGAGTACATGGCTTTGGAAGATGCTTGCAAAGAGGCTATATACCTCAAGACACTCATTAGCGAAATATTTCCCATTGGTTCACATTCCATCATTATAAACACTGACAATCAAAGCTCAATCAAACTGGCACACAATAACGCATACCACGCACGCACTAGCCTTATCGATATTAAACACCATTTTATCCGAGACTCACTTACATTACCCAATCTACAACTAAAATATATGATCACCGACATATTCATCAAACTATTATTGAAACTTAGCACAACAAATGTGCACATTTACTAAGTTCAATTTAAGGTTTAGGGTAATGTTTTATTTTTGTAAATTTTGTTTTGTGTCTATGTATATTGTGTAAAGTTAGACTTAAGTGAATGTAAATAATACGTTTTCATTAAGTGTATATGTTACGCCTAAAGAGAGAAGCCATAACGCGTTGAGGTCGAATAGCATGTCAACCACGACACGGACGTCGCTTGTGGTTATTCTGCGATTACCACAACACGTTGTGAACTGATTTTAACTCAATGAGCGATTTCGATCTTTGAGCGTAACATATATAATGTTTAGAAAAATTTTGTTATTACTTTTGAGTATATTTTATATATCTGTTTATCAGATAAAGATAAAGGAGTTTATGGCAAACTAATAAAACGAAGTTGAAATAAAAAAACATAATAAAACTATGATAACGTTTTATTCGTACAAAAATAGACATAAATTATAAGAGTATATACAAAAGTTAGGAAATAAGTATAGTAAATACTTTACTCCATCATATGCTAGCTTTATCACATTTTTCTAAGACGCGTGGGATAACTTATGGATTGCATTTTCAATTAGTAACAACACTTTTCAAAGAATACAGTAACAAAATGATGTCATCTAACCCTAATTATTTACAATTAACAGGCAATTTGCTATCCTTTTGTAAATCGACACATGTTTTGCTGTTTGATTAGATCATAGTCAGTATTAGATGATAGTGATACTCTACAGAAACATCCTGATTACACAAATGCGATGCGATATCTCTTCACGTATAACTGTGAATGGGCAAATAGAATCACAATAGCGAGATTTATTTTTGACATTCACGTCAGAAATATAATTATAACACGCTTCAGTCAGTAACTTATATACATTTAGGTACCTGTGGAGATTAACAGTGGCTTTATAATAAGGCCCACTTTTAAAATTTCATGCTAAACACTTTTATTCCTGTTCAATCTCACAATAACAGCGTGTATCTATTAGTGTAATGCAAGAGTGAGTAAAGTTTGACAGGGAAACGGGCCTTAATTGCCGCAAGTATCTTCTCGAATCTATGTCCAAAGTTCTATCAATCAAATACTCTTAATCACGTAATCATAAATCATAACAACAAAACACTATGGCTTATAGAGCAGTACAGCTTTGATATTCTTTAAAAATACAACGTTAAGCATAGCATCAGGAATTCAATTATATAAAACCTACTTAGGTTTCATTTGCTTGACCCTTTAATGCTGATACAGCGCTCTCTAAAACGCTATATTTCTAACAGAAAAATGCTGCAAGTGATAACAATCTTATAATTATTGTGAAACTTTCACATTTGAATTTTCTTTAAAATGTGGTTTTATACAAATCTGCTGCATGTTTATTGCTGGTAGTAATGACCTTTGTAGTCCAACGCTGCTTTCTCTTCAAGATCTCTGGCTGCTTCAGGGTTGTTCTTAACTTCTATGGCAGCACGCTCCTGAATCAGATTTGAAATAATTAGAAAACTGAAAAGTTACTAGCTTTATATATACTTTTAGTATAGGTGTTTTGCAATTGCTAAATTTATATTTCTTAAACTATATTTCTTACGCTTTGTAAGGAATCAGAAGGCTTGTTCACATTTCTCCGAAACAAAATTTTGACTATTTATTCTTAATGAAAAATGCTTAAAGATCCACTTTGTGTCATCTCAGAGAGTCAGGGATAAAGGGGATTTTTAAGTATTTTTCAGTATAGCATTGTGATCAAATATAATAATTTTGACTATTCTATAAACGTTAACATGACACCAAAGAAATACATTTCATTTATGATGCAATTGAGGTAGGATCTGACCCTGCCTTTGATGCACAGATAAAAATTCACGAATACTCTTTTAACAAAATTATAAGGATTATTAAGAATTTTCGTTCATAAACATACAGAGTAGGCTCTAATACGTCAAAGACAGAGAATGAAACTGATCACGAAATTACTAAATTAAATAAAAAAAGTATTTATTGTACCTGATTAGCTTTAATGCCGGCGTAAATGAGATCAAGACCCTTTTGGATTTCGGGAGACACTGGAGGAGGGGTGGGGATATGGTCGCCCTTGACTCTGAATCCCAATTCGTCAGCGGTATACTCCACGGTGATGACTTGACCATCAGGTGCGGTGTACGAGTAAGATCCTGACTGGACCAACGCATCGTGGCTATCGTCAACTGGTTTCAAATAACCGGACTCTTCAGCTAGAATGTTGTTGCCGGTTTCGTATCTGGAATAATTAATAATATACACATTACAATTTTATTCCTTATAAAATTGTCTTTGATTAATTTGAAAACGCGATATGTCTATAAGGGTTAATGTACATGTAATTATCGGAAGTATGCATTAGCACACTCGTCGATTTAGTGTGCGAGGTTGAATGCCCTACTCTATATTTGTAAAAGTTATAATATTTCGCGACAGATCGTACATGACGTATTTTATACCGTATGAGCACGGACACTAATATATATATTTTGGTCGTAAAATATTCAAGAACTGCTTTTTTCCTTCTCAATAAATATTAATAATTTAAGCTATTCATTTCAGTTCACGAATTGCGCTTGGCTTATAAAGAGTATAGTTTGCTTGATAGAGATCAATATGAATCATCTACCAAATTACTCTTAACTACCCTACCATACACTTTCATTATTTTTATAATTTTCTAATAGATATTTAACTAAAACACAAATTAATGAATCATTAATCCTATATGATTCTTATCGTGTAATTTTTCTATTGTACTCTCAGTAAATACATATTTATATTATGTTAATAAGTGTGTAACATTTTATGTTACGATAACTCACGGTGAATGTATAAAAAAATCTTGTCGTAACGATTTTACGACGCATAGACCTTGACCTATGTCTGCCGCATCAGATGCGCTCAATACGAAACTCGTTTAACAATTTCAGAATTTGGGCGTTGTATGCGATTTATGGTGTCACCCAAAGGTATTTTATTCGGAAAACACAATATATTGAATTACGTAAGGCTATGATAAATTTTTTATCGTTTTTACAAGCTTTTATTTTTGACATGTTAGGTTGTTTGTGTGACTCAATTCTTGCAAGCTAAATTTGACATATTTCCCGATTTCAGATGAGATAAAATTTTGTTTGCACATATAACTTGGATGATAATGCAATATTAATGAGTTGAATTTGACGTTGTGATATTATATTTATATTATTATACGAATCAATCCCATCGAAATTGGGTTCGATTCGTCTTAAAAAGGACTTTGGTCATAACATCAAAATCCGATAATGGAAATGAAAGGTGCAAGGGAACTTTATGGGAACTAAATAACCATGTCGAGTTTGGTCTCGTTTGATTTTTCAATACAAGATCTCTGATGCAACAAAAGCTTTTTATATAAGGATACTAATAATCAATAGAAGAATATGTTTTCATATGAAACTACTGGCCTCGAAAAAAATATTTGCGATTACCACAGACTATATGTCTAATGAGTTGCTATGTTATTAGCTTTCTCGTTAAATTTTGTAATCTAGCTTACTTAACTTATGTAACTAGTTAACACAAACACTTACGCAGTCTTGTAACTTCCATCGGTGCCTTGTTCTTTATCGAACCGAATGATTGGGATGAAAGTGGTAGTTTCCAACTGCACTTTAGGTCTGAAGTCATCGATGGGCTTGGCTTGTCTGTACTCCTGTTGTTGCGGTCTGTAATCTTGTTGTTGTGGTTGGTAGTTCTGATAGTTCTGTTCGGCTGTCTGTTGATCATCTGCTATTTGCTGCTCGGGTTTCAACGACGCTCTCCTCTGAGGAAGAGCTGTCGCAAGAGACAGCACAGCACAGACAGCGACCTTAAATGAGAAATAGGATTATGTAATAAAGTGTCTATTTATGCTTATTCGATAACAAATATTAGAATAATATTGCGGAATCATGTCATAGTTATTCTCTTTCGAAAGCCGAGTCTGATGACTAACGAAACGACGACGAGTTTGTTTTCATCATAATTAAATAAAATATTAACTGATGTTTTCTGCTTTATAAAAAAACTAAATAAATGCGGTAATATTTTTTTTAGGCATACGAACTGAACTACTATTTAATCATGTAGTCATCAAAATTTATCTACCAGAACTTCATATTTTTATTTTGTGAACAAAACTCGAACAGTATCTTCTAAAATTAAACTGTCTTCTATAAAAACAAACTACGTAATATTGAAAAAATTAAATGACAATTCGTGACACACACGCCTTTTATTAATAATACACTCAGACAGAAGGCTTAATCATATTCGTTATGTCGCAAGATAAGATGAGGCAGCACAATAGGTTGCATCTTGTGAAACCGGCTCATTCGACACGCAAGTTGGGCGAAAGTGGGCTCCAACATAACATACATTGGCACTAACATGTCCACAAATAACCCATTGTTTTCATTGAGATCTACTTGACTTTTGGCTATGCTTCGTTAGCGCTCCGAGTTCACGTCAGGGTACGTAACAATGCGATCGCAATCAATGTAAATACACCGGTAGCTGATGGCAACCAAAAATGTAACTAAGAAATATATTATATTAGACCAACTGTTTTCCAACGTCTTCGCCGCGTTAATTATAAGTGAAAGAATTAATAAAATCGGTCCAATATTTTAGGTGCCTAACAAACAAATAATCAAATCTTTCCTCGATATAAATTTAGTATAGGTATATTTGTTTTCAAATTGAAGAATTTCTAAAGATCATGCCTTACGATTATGTTATAAACGACGCATTTAAATTAATTAAAGATTTGTTTTTTGTAATGATGCGTATTAAGACTCGGAATATGAAACATGGGTGATGAACGTAGTTTACAAATAAAAATAAGGAGAATTTTTTTTTAACTTTGTAATTAAAGAGAAAAACCTCTGAATTCAATTAGGACACTAAATACGAGTTCTGAAAAAGATCCCGTTGGAGAAACCTAAAGTATCATGATCAATAATGTTAAGTGGCTGCAATGTTAATGATGAAAGTATTTTATAATCTTCAGAAGTAATTATTTTATTAATGGATTTTATATTTACTTAAATTATTTTTTTTTAATAAAAATATAAGTTAAAGATATCCTAAATATATACTTATTAAATACTGTTTTTCTTTATAACACGAAAGAATATACAATATTATAAAAAAATAAAAAACAAATAGTTTCCAGATAAAGTTAAACGAAACATAACTTGTTATTTTTAGTACTTCCTTTACCTACGCTTCGCATTTTTAATGTAGTGTATATTTACACACTACATTAAAAATAGGAAACTGTAATGCAAGCAAGAGGTGGACTCTACACAAAAAAAACCTTTCACTGTTCCTTTCTCTCGCTCCTTGAACACACTATAAACGAATCTCAAATATTTTTTTCTTATTAGATGTTGGGAGAATTATAAAAAAGTATCGATATCCAAAAATACTCGTTTGTTACAAAACTCATTAAAAATACTATTTACATTTCGTGTTCATATTACGTGCCCTGGAGTAGGGAAGATGAGTTAACCGCATTAACATCGTACAAAGCAATTACCGAACCAATCTTCAGTTACGTTTCAACTGTTCCGTAATATTACTGTTTTTTTAATCTGTTACTTTGAAACAATTACAATCGATTTATTATTAAAAAATTATATGATGCATAAAAGTCTTAATAAGATTTTTTATGCTTATTAAACTTGTATGTAAGCAATTCTGTAAATCTCTAATTCTAATATTAGAATATCATCAATATATATTTGCATTATATTCTGACAGCAAAAGAAAAATATTAACCAACTAAATATGGTAACATTGTTCAATAATACATGAATAAAATCGATCGTAACAGCCATATTACCAATAGAATTCCAAAATTGGCATAACCCGAATCTAGTTATGTAATTAAATGCGTAGACTATTATAAATTGTTTGTATAACAGATATCGCATATTGAGGTTATATGACTTGTAATGTATACTAGCGCACATGACGGCTACTCAAACGTACTGTAGAAATGACGGTAGCAGGTTTTTACATGGTCATTAGCATACTTCATGTTTTTCATTAAAACATAACATGCATTATAAAACCGTGGCTATTAATTTATTAATATCGTTTAAGTCTTAAGAATACTTTAAGAGAACATTAAAATGTTACAAATTGATAGTAAAATTAAAAAGCGAATTATTAGTCAATGAAATTTTGCAAAAAAAATAATCACTCAAAAAATAAATGTTTCTTATTTATATTATTTATAACTATAAATCGAAAATAAAGTTTCTAAAAGCGACTACATTATAATGGTGTTAGTAGCTAGATCACCTAGAAATAAGGTCTTCGTAATATCAAAGTTTAACACCCATTGTATCCTTGCGCTCTAATTCCTGTGACACTATCGCGAATTTTACTAAATCATTATGTTAACTTTTTAGAGGAATGCCAAAAAGAAATGGCATTGAACTTAAGCTTTCAGAAACTTACCAGGAGTTTCATTGTGGTTTCGTGTGAGGACGTGCGACGAGAGGGCACGTGGTGATTGTGAACTATGTCAGAGTGGTAGTAAAGCGCAAGCTTATATACTACACCCCTGCCACAACGCGCGATGCTCTGCCTCCATACTTTCATACAGTGCCTGCAACTGATCTACGCTCGTCGCACTCTCGATTGATTTCAATTTTGATATCACAAAATCATGACATTGCACGGGATGGGCATTGTTCGTGGTATTATTAAATTGTATTTGAGTTATGGCTTTCTATTAGACCGGAACCAATTGTCACCGGTAATTTTTTAAGATCATCGATATTCTGGTTATAAAAAGGTACTGTAAAAAATATAAAAAGACATTGGAGTATCCTTATAGTTGAATTTAAAGTCAGATACCATTTATATAGTTATCTTAATAACATAATTAGTTATAATTTTAGGCTTTATATAAAAATAATATTTTATACTTTCTTACAGATTTAAATGAAGGCTGATGTTTGAAAATAATAACGAAATAGTTTCTGTCGTTTATAAGTTGCTAACACAATTACAAAAATAGACTATATATACATGCTTACGATATTAAAATAGTTACTGTTAAAATAAACAGTCTAATATCGATAATTTATAAATCAAATATGTAATGCTATAATTAACTATTTCCCAAGGCCCTTTTATGATCGAGCTTATTTCTCAACGGATAAAATGAAAAAGATCATGTACTAATCGACAGATATTATTTGGTCCCATCTCTTGAGTAATTCGTCGTAGATATAAATATATAAATACTAGTGGACGCCCGCGACTTCGTCCGCGTGGAAGTCGGTATCCCGTGGGAGTGAGAAGTTTTCCCAGTAAAAAGTACCCTATGTGTTATTCTGATGTATAACCTATATTGCTGTAAAGTTTTATCCAAATCCGTCCAGTAGTTTTTTCGTGAAAGAGTAACAAACATCCATACATCCATACTTACAAACTTTCGCCTTTATAATATTAATAGGATTGCGTTCAACATCGTTTTGATTGATGTCTACGTAATATCATAAAATAAAATTAATGAAACTCTTTACTTTCTTATATAAATTGTTAAAATTAACTTTTACTGGTCACATGGAGATATAAAATAACTATTTATTAGATCGTTTATAGCAAATATAAATATCTATAGTGAAATCACATAAATGTTCCTATCGGCTAGACGTCCAGTTTCGGTGGTTATGTTACCAGCAGTCTGTATAATTCAGGTATTGTATACAATACCTAGGCAATGTATAAAATACCGGGGCCGTTCAGGGAATATATGAAATATTATGTATATTATGATCCATTTTATACTTTTCCTAGGTAATGTTAACAAAATTTCTTACGAATTGTATTATATTGTAGAAATAGATATGGGTCTATATTTATTAATGTGAACCTTGGTATCTTATAGCTGTAGATCACGTTACCATAAGTTAGAATTTTTATCAAACCACCAAAATCAGATGGCCGAGAACTTTATGGATTTTTTAAGATTATCTAAATATTTAAATAATTATAGAGTCACAATAACTTTATTTCCTGCATACCTGTCTTTTATATACTTTACCGGCCGCGCATCCGGTACAGAATACCTAAGGAAAGAATAAAATATTTCATAAATTACCTGCACGTTTTAGTGATTGTGTACATTACCTAGGTATTTTATACAATACCGGATTATACATATTACCGGTAACAGTTACATAAAGTAGGCGTAGTGCACGCTCATCAGTGTAGCAATGGTCAACGAGTTAGAATCAGTTATCAAGGCGAATTGTGCAATAAGTTCAAAAGGGTGCACCTAGGCGCTGTCTTCGCCATAAATAAGCATAGTTAAGAGTATTTTTTAATATCTATACTAATGTTATAAGAAGAAATATTTAATTGTTTGTTTGCATTAATTAGGCTCGGATACCACTGATCCGATTTTAAAAATTCTTTCACGTATGGGAAGCTACACACACGTAATATGGACTATAATTTAGGCGGGCAATGTCGCAGGAAAAGAGTTAGTCTGCAAAGAACCTGTACAATTAACAAAAAATATAGAATAGTATCATAAATGTATATTTACGTGTTTAATACAACTATGTATATTTTTATGCGAGTCTATGTAGGATTCCGTAGTTCCGGAACGGAACCCTTAAAGATGAGATTCATCATGTCTGTCCATCCGTGTGTCACGACAATTTTTTTCCGAAACTATTAGGACTGTACAGTTATAACTTGATACATGGATGTATTCTGTATAATGCTTTACTATATTTGTACAGTAATTAAATAATTCAATAATAATATTTAAATAATAATAAAATTAAATAATAAAGAAACCCATTTGTGGAATTAAAACTAGTTTATTTTTATCAATCAAAAATGTGACAAAGATATATTATTACACTTTGAAAACCAAGTAATTTTTAAGCTATTAACCCCTCATGGATGGACTGACTGGCACTTTGCCACTTTTTCATTACCACCACTTTTACCTACTGATATTTTTTATTCTCCAACTTCAGTAACTAGTATGTGTTTTATTCGTCGTTTTTTTAAAGCACGTGGAAAATAATTACCAACCTCTAAAGTTAACAAAAATACTGATAAAAAATATTTATTTGAGGATAATTTAAAAAAGGTATCATACTCTTTCTTAATAATAACAATTTTACAAATTTCGCTAACGTAAATCATCGCATATGTCACCCGCGTCTAATGTAGATTCGTATAAGTGAAAGAATTTTCATAACCGGATCAGTTTTTCTGAAGATAACCCCCGTTCAAACAAACAAAGTTAGAAGCTTAACCTCTTTGTAACAATATTATTGATATTACCTAGTCAATAATAAATATCAGATACATACTTAATTAGCTGCCACGCTGATTTAAATAAAAAAAAAACAAATCATCAATCATGACTTGAAGTGATCTTATAAATAAATAATAAAAAAAACATGAAGAATTTGTAACGAAATTCTGGCAAGCATAAATCCTTCACCTTGGCCTAATTCAAAAGGTTTGCAATAAGTACCTTTTGTTTAAATCACTTCAACGGAAAGCTTAGCAACGTCACTTATAGATAGACTAAGTTTTGCGACTGATTAATCGCATAATAATAATAAAAAAATTTAACTTCAACATTTTCCTTTTAAAAGATTCATAGAATATGAAAAATAATTAAAGGTATGTAAAAAATTGATTTTTTACTGGATTTTATTCAAAAATATTTCCAAGTATTTTTAATTTTCACATTGGTTAGGTCATAGCAGTGTAAGCAAATACGTTTTAAAATTCTTTAAGGTGTTTATGTTTTATTTCTGAATAAGGAAACATTTATTGTTATATAGAATAACATAAATTTTCCTTAATATTAATGTTTATTAATTTAGAAACATTATTTAAATTGAAATAATACGACCTATATACCAACTTTTTACAGCTTAAATGAAAAGATTGCATCGGTAATTTAATGAAGTATTTACAGAGAAATAAAAAACTAACTGTAAATATTCACTGTAATGCCAATGACAAGAGCGAAAGAGAGAAAAAAACAAAAGAAGAAAGTAGACTAGAAGAATAATAAAAACTAATCTAGATGGCCACGCTTGCTTGTGGAACCTAACTAAAGAGATTTGAGCTGGAACAAAAATAGGTATGCATTGAATATTTAATAAATTTTGTATTCAGAATTATATAATTATTTATTTTATTTCATAGAAAATAATAATCTCGCATTTGCTTTTACATTGCAATCTTCAATATTTATTTTAAAAATAACCGTCTCATGTCCAAGGAAACTGCTGAGTATTCTAAATAATTTTCTATAAGTTAAAACTTTAACACTTTACAAATAAGATTCAAATTACAAAGTTGTATCATTGTGACGTTGCTCTTTAGTATTTTGTACATTGCCCCAACCAGGAATCTAAACTGGTACCTAAGAGATGGTGACAGCTTGCAACCGGCTTGCCACTCAACGAGGGAGGTCCATATCATAAATATACAAAAGACAGTCGTGTTAGTTACACCATTTATAACTCGAGAACAGCTGGAGCGTTTTTATGATTTTTGAATTTTTGGATTTGTCTTCATCGGGAATAGGATAATAAGTATTAAGATATATTATATTTTATTAACAAAAATAATTATTATAAAAGACCCAAAAAATTTGTGATAATAGTGATCTGTCATTATAAAACGCCTAAGACAGTTCACGTAATGTTGTCTATGGTTTATTTTATATATTGTCGCTAAATCCTAAATTTTATATTCAAATTTCTTGCGCGAAACAAAGTTCGCCGATTCCACTTGTTATGAACAAAACAAATTATGACCTAAATTGTATAATATTATTTAACTATGCTTTTTGTAATGAATTAAAACTATTTTGTGTCCTATTATTTTTGAATAATCTGATTAACAATCGGTAGTCATTGGTAAAAAACCTACCTTCTTTTATAGTAAAAATCTAATTTAACAATTATTACGCTAATTATGGCGCTATTATTTATACTTAGATGATAAACGCTCGCTCGTGTCAGCGAACTCAGTTACGTAATAACTCATTAACAGATGCGTCCGAACCTACACTAGTGTTGGGATGATTTTGTAGCTGGACAAATAAACATTATAATGTTATTATGTAATATAACAGAAGCATATGAAGCTTATAATTGATCCTTGAAATATTAATACGACTAAGCATTTCTTATAATGTAACGGAAGGAATAATATAATTGGGTGAACATTTTTTCTGAGTAATCCTTTTCATTTTCTTATTTTGAAAACATAAAGTTTCGTAAAAATATATAAAAATACTGAAATACATACATTTTCTCGATAAGTCTTAAATAAATGAGAAGAAGCAAAAAAAAGTTATCTTATTCACCTTATTAGGAGGACATTAGTCTCAAAATGGATCCCGATATGAAACCTAAAAAGAATAATATAAATTTTCAAACATAATCATATGATGATTATACATAGATAAGTATAAACTCTTTTTTTAACTAATTATATACAGGTTAATCAATGTTATAACAACACCGATGAGAAAATTCAGTAGGGTAACTAAGGCCAAGGTGTCTCATTATTATAATGGAGTACTTACTCGCATTACAAATCGTTATGTATTCGTGTGCTATCCGCAATAAAAGAATTAATTCACAGAATGTTTATGTTTGTGTGACGTTTTATGTTAATTTTGTTCCAATTATATTTTAGTGACCATTTGGCATGTTCCCAGGTTCACTTTTAATGATAATTTTAAATTTATTGACAGAATTACTTGCATTTTTTATTCCTCTCCCGGATCCAAAAAGTTCTTATTTCAATAATACAATTAATATAAGAACAGTCACACTAGTAAGGCACGTCATTGATTTCCAAATAAAAGTGAGAGGAGGAACAGGCGCATCACCACGCGCCGTGCGTTGGTATCGTGACCTGATCTTGACATTTGACGTGAAATATTTCAATTTGCATGAACTCAGATTCTTACCTCTCTAGCTCTATGCAATAGTGAAGAGGTAAGCGTGCTTAATGGCGATGTTAAAGCAAATTCCATAAAGACCTATCATCAGATCAGTTCACTTTGAGAGAACCACTTCCGATGAATTAATTGTAGTTTATGGTCTGGTATTCCCTACATTGTTTTGCTTAAACTCACTAAGTTATAAATCAATTAACGTCTGGGTAGATGTATACTGTAGAAGAATATACGCATTACCATATTTTTTTTATTTCTTGTAGGAGTGGTAACAATAATTATGAGAAAGTATTGCATGTGTGTCTAACTGCCGATACATTAATTTGCTAATTATCAATACATAAATGAATTTTGCTTCTGGAGCAGTTGTTAACATCTATAAAAACGCCATGCGAGCTTTTTTTGACGCAGACAAATGCTTACATATGGAGAGTCCTACTGAGTTTAGTACTGTCTATCAGCAGATGCACAGACCCATCCACGAGGCTAGAGAAAGGGTGGAACCACACTCTGCAAAATATTCTCACCATGGGGACGACGCATATGATAACTCTGAGACTAACGTTTTTGCCAACATATTCTTTTAGATCTTCATGCGATTTTCTTCATGTTTCTGCTTTGTACTCTTATACTGGGATATGATTTATAAAAATACTTGTATCACAATAGTTAAAATATCAAAACATTAAGATCAAATCAAATCATCGCTTTTCGCACTTATAATAATAATAATAAAAATTGTTTCAGATTTCCGCATCCATATGGTATTAGTAATAATAAGACGTAATTCTATTGGTAAAAAATAAATTATTAATAAATTATAAATAATTCTATTTAACAATTTAATTTAATAATTTAATTTACTTATATTCAATAATTTAATTTATTTAAATTTAATAATTTGATTTACTTAAATTTGATAATAATAACTTATAACAACAATAGCTTTTAAAATAAATACTGTGACACACACCTCTACCTGCATTCCAACCAAGGACTTTTATACATGTCATGCAATATGCCCAAAGGTGACACATTGTCGGCCTCTTCTCTATATAAAGAGAACTGCAAAACGTTTTCTCTCAGTCTATTTTAGGAGTTTCAACAAGAGGACAAACAACTTATATTCTAACTTTTTATTTATTATTTAATTCAACAAGAACGAGTTTTAAAAATTCGGCAGTGTAAAAAACCACATACAATTCAAATAACATTTTTAAACTTTATTCCCATTAAACTATTCCATCTAATTAATTTAGAGGCTTAGATGAGGTAATTTTAATATAAGAATGAATTTCAAATTTTAAACGGATATATATATATATATAACTGTATGTAAATTGTGTATGTGATGTGTATTGCCAAATAAAAACCTATACTATTCTATACGTATGTTGCTTCTAGGCTTAGAGATCGATTTTCGAAATATAAAACTTCAAACTCGTATCTCATAAGTCAGACAGTTCATGTACACTATAACAAGAAATACAAAAAAATAAAATAAAATAAATATTTAAAGGGGCTCCCATTCAATACAGTAAACGTACAATAAACGCGATTTAGACTTGGCCGGTTTTTTATGTGGTGTGCAAACACAGGTAGAAGCCAATCACTACGTCAGTATATTATTTGAGAGGTGTTATGATTGAAAATGGTGTAATGCATAGGGTGCAAGGTCACAAACTCACTTTATTAAGTGGGGTTGCACAATATTTTAATTAGACTTAAGTGACTCATTACAACCTCAGTGATTGATGATTGCGATGAGTACCATACACACAGTACAGCAGGTTACCATTATAGATCAAATTTCAACAAATTGATTCTGATCTCTAATCACTTCTCACTAAGACTTAAAATCGTTTTGAGACATTACTCAGTTTTTTATAAACTGATATAATGTGGAATGTATACTACTCGCAGTTGTGACAGATCAATTATATGAATATATATGTGACATAAGATATGCGATAGATATGATCTTCAGGGCCAAGTAATTCGTACGCCGGTTTCAAGATGTCGCCATATCTGCGGTGCCTGGTTCGATTCCAAGTTTAGTCAATGTCGAAACAACTGCTTTAGCTACTTAGAATTTGATCAATATATATGGTGTAGTCTAATATTTATATTAATATGTGACATATGGAACGATTATTTCTATTGTAAACTTTTTATCATGAACTTTAGCTGCTAACACTTAATGTCAAATACAAAAAAAATATAATGTAGTTAATTGTCGTATAGATCATCTACTAATATCAACCTCATTCCATCACCGCCACATTTAATTTATTATTATAGCCAAATATAAAGAATCTACACATATTTTTTTGAAAATATTTTTATATGTAATATAAGATTATCATTGAGACCTCATTATTATGTACGTAATATAATATCATATATAATAATATTTATAAAATTGATATCTGTGATTCAAACGCATGATTTTAAGAATTACGGTTTTAGGAATTACGATGTCATCCTTAAAGACCGGTTGGTCTTATTAATTATATCGGTAGGTATACTGGCATAAATAGGTTTCATAAAAAAATGTTTTAGTACGATGTATGGTCACAGATATACATAAGACACCATAAAGCAATTCACAGAATATATACACATCCACCAAGTTTGAACTGTGTAGTCCTAATCGTAATAAAGTTGTTGTCATATAGGGACGAACTCACGGACAAACAGATGTAGTAAATCTATAAAAACAAACATGATGAATCCATAAGCAATCCATTTATTGTCATTCGCCTATAAAACCCTAATAAACGATTTTTAATAACGATATTTCAGAAAATGATAGTCTAAATTATTAGTATTTAATAAATGACACAGAATAAGTTAATGCATTTAATAATTTATTATTATTTATTTATTATTATTATTAGCTTTAGTGATTTCTATAAATTGTATAGGTATTATAAAAACCGAAGAAAAACCTTTCTACGGTACACACGCCTTTATCTTTTCTATTTTGTATGTTCGTTACGCTAAATAAATTCTGTTAACATTGACATTGATTTGGTAATGAATGACATAGGTTTATGTAAATCTAGTTATTACGGTTTAGAACTTGTGAGTTTCTTATTCTTGTCTCTCGTGAATGAGTGCTAATATATTTTAAACCAGCCAAACGTTATTTTTTTATAAATTATCTTCTAATAGATAGATATCGATAAAGAATTATCTTGTATAGAGGGACTTGAAAATGTATATATTTAAAAATCTTACAACAAAGCATTTCATTGGATAGGTATATCACTCATAGATTTTGCTATATTTTCAATCAATTTTATTATTTACCCAAGAGTAAGTAATCCATTTGTTTTAAATTTACTTATTTATGTTACACCCTTGTTTTTTACTGCTTAACGAAGAAGATCAAATACTCCCGAGTTTAGTATGACGCAATTAAGAAGACACTGTCATGTTATCATCCTATGATTGTTATGAGCTAACTATAATAGTTCCCTAATATTCACGTCTATTCTCCGTTCCGTGTAATAGAACTGTTATTTCACGCTCTGCAGTGCTTTTGCACTGCAGAGCGTGAAATAACTGAAATGACAGATTGGGTGCACGCCAACGTCAGGTTAATCAGATACCAGACAGACGGATCAGTAAATGATCGCAGTAAATGAGTATGAACTAACTGATATAAATATCGTACAAAATAGTACTCATCTTATCTACGCCTCATAAGTTCTAATGGACGAAAATTTTGCGCAGGTTGGTAATATCAAGATCCCGGCTTCATTAGGATTTGAACAATTATTTATAATGTTCATTAAGTGGATTATATTTTTAAATATTATGTTTTATTATTTTTATAGATATGTAAAAATTTTATGTTAATAAAAATTGAATAATTTTACCAAAAAGAAAAGGAAATTTTCAATGATACAAACATGTCGTCTGTTTTTTTGGTTATTTGGAAGAATGGTTAAAATTATTTTGATTTAAAAAATATAGTGATGATCTCATAATGAAATATAAATATCCATATCAGACCTATAATCTTTAAAAAAAAATAGGTCAACAATTCTCAGATAAAACGATGAACATACATTTAGGTAAAAAACTTCCTTTTTAATTTTAAAGTTGGTTAACGAATATAATTTGGCAGTCATAATATAAATATTTCATATAAAATTTGATTCAATCAATATAATGTTTTGTGTGTCTGTAATATAATGTTTGTCATGTAGTCACAGATAAATTCAATTTATTTTCTATATTATCTTTTTATACGGAATCGTTTTAGGGAATTTCAATATAATAATGGAATCTTAACCTAATTACAGCTTAAGAAATTTACTAAAAATAAAACGATGAACTATTTTATTTTTCAGATTTATTTATTAAGTACAAAAACATCAATTTACAATTTCTAATTAAATAGGATGATATCACATTTTATTATAGGATACCTATAAAATAATTATTCCGTTTTACCCGTATCGCATTATATTATATTTTATAGAGCTACGTCGTTTTTATACAAAAGTAATTATTTACTCACAATTTTTCAGGTGAAGTAAAATTGCCCATGGAACCTTTAACCTATTTCTAGATCTATGAAGAAGTAGTAGAGGGATTATTTTTTTCTGTTGAGATATCACTTGATAGAGGTACTGCAGCTGTAGCAGATTCGGATATGGGTTGTTCTTCTGATTCGGATTTTGGGCTCGATCCACCTGCTGTCGAAGCTACTTCTGAGCTAGATGCTGCTTGCGTTGTTGATGACTCTGCTGATGAGACTGCTTCTGCAGACGATGCTTCTTTTGTATTCAAAGTTTCTGTGGCAGCTTCTGTTGTGGAAACGGGTGCTTCAGGAGCTGCTGCAGTTGCTGCAGCTTCGGTAACAGATGCCGCGCCTACAGCTGAAGTGCTGTCTGATTTCGCTTTTGATTCTTCTGCTGCCGGTAACGTGGTGGGTTCATTTTTGACTGCAGCCGAGTTTGAAGAAACTTCTGACGAGGACTTTTCAGAGGAGATTGCCGATGTTTCAGATGCAAGTGGACTCGAATCCTTTTCAGCTACAACCGCTACTTCTTTAGGGGATTCTTCTGGTTCTGATTTGGACAAAGCAGATACAGCGTTTTTAGACTCGGCTTTCTTTAGGTCAGATTTAAGAGCCCGTCCAGATTTTTCACCAGTACTTGTTTGTGGTACTAAACCAGGAGCTCTTGGAAGGTGATCACCAACAGGGCGGAAACCATTTTCGTCAGCGATGTACCTAAAAAAAAATCACAATATTTATTTTTCTTTCATAAAATAATATGTATTTTTATATCAGAAAGAAATATTTCTAAAAAAATAAGATTTTATAATATCAGGTTAAAATAAATTATTTTTATGCATATGACTGAACCAAATTCTATTTAATTTTAATGACTATTAATATTAAACTTGCGGAGAGTTTGGTATATCGCTAAAAGTTACAGCATGCTAAAATCTATTTTTAAGCATAAGAAGCTATCATCATCATCGGTCTATCATTATACCACTACTCGGTCCCAATGTATGTTGGTGACTGCTGCAGATGCAGAAAACAGCTTAAAAACTACGCCATCAAGTTCCTCAATATAGTTGTAATTGCGTTATATATTAGAATAAAAGTTAAATTCATACTTGACAGAAATGACAGTGCCGTCAGGTGCGACGTAGGAGTACGACCCTTCCTGGACGTGGATTTCGTTGCTATCATCATTTTCCTCACCCTCTTCACTGCCTGCGGAACGTGTCTTAGGTATTACCTTCTCATAAGAGGTCTCTTCTCGTTTGATACCATTGCCAGTTTCGTAGCTGCAATACAATATGTACATTATACTATTTTCATTTCAATAATTCTTTCAGCTATTCGCCAACAGAAAGACTAGTTACTGTTGGCGAATGACTGAAAAAACCATCCTTTTTGATAACTTAATTAGTAATATTTTATCATTTTGTACTTTTTTTTCTTTTTGTCATTGTTAGTTCCTATGTTTTTTTAATTGCCTTGATCTATTATTTATTATTATAAATCGTATCATATTTTTTTTATTTTAATTATTTTCAACGTATTATTTGTTTCCATTTACAGTCATTATTTCCATTAGCTATTACTTATATTCATCCGAATTATGCTTCTTTTCACCATTTCAGCGTATACTGTATATATAATTGCATTAGTATTTATTTAATTCAAACACTTATTTATTATCCTTATTATTTTTGACAGCTCATTTCTAATTTCCAGATGGTAAGAAGAGCGACGTAAAATATATATTTTTAAATTATCATAGGTATATTGCTAGATAATTTGATTTGATTAGTATTTTGTATCTTAAATAATTCCATCCTATTTACATTATCAAAACATGTAACGTGATTTCATTTTTCTAATTGGTTAGCGAAGAAAGTCATAACATTATCATCCATTAAGGGTGTAACGTTCCTTGGGTGAAATAATTTAAAATAAAGGTAAATATTAAAAATAGGAAGATAGGCACTACGCCTAAATAAGTTTAGATAAACTGAACTAAGCTTTTAAATTATATTTTATAATATAACTCTCAGTTTTGTAAAAATAATTAATCTAATCACATATTACCAGTACTGGCTAGCAAGAAGCACTGTGATTATATATATTTTTTCAGTTTCTTGAAATAACCAATGTCACTTTCCTTTATTTTGTTTTCAAATAACATACCTAAATTTATATGTTCCATTAGCCTCCAACTCTTCTGATTGAGATACAATAGGTATCACAGTAGGTTGCTGTTTTTCTAAGGGCACCACATCTGTATTAGCTGGAGCTGAGCAAACACAACTCAGTACCGAGCACAAGAGAACTAATTTGAAAAACATCTTTACTGTTTTCACTCCCGAAAAAGACTGATGTGTGACAACTCCAGACTTCATGACCACTTATATGTAAGACTCACCTATTTACACTACCCTCCCCCCGCCTACAAGCGGAGCCTTAGTGGTCGCTAAATATTTCAACCTTAGCGCTGGCTTGGTGTGTTCTTCGGAAAATTGCACAATAGCTGAGGTGTCAATAATGAGACATGATATCTAACAATAGTACGTCGCGAATCAATCTAATCATAAAGCGATTTGCGACTACTAGACTGACAATTTAATGCTTTTCTAAATAAAGGTATCTTTTAACTATTTGATAAATTTTATCACCCAGTCATTAATTATTGTACGCTTAATATATTTTTATGAATTAGAATCAGCGACACATATATATACATATAAAAGAAACCTAACTTAAATCCTAAGATAAACATATCAAATAATTACAGATAAATAACACAACAGAAATTTCAAAATAAAAACTGAGTTTCTTTCTTACATTACATCGTTTAAAATTACTATTTATTTTTTTCTTGTATTTTAATAGTTACAAAATCATCGACACATTTTTTTTTCAATATGACTTTTAAAAAAACTTATATTTATTCCTTAATTATCAGAATTGCATGCAGCACAGTCTCAAGCAAATAATATTAGGATACTGAATAACTAATTTTGGAAATAATAATTAAAGATCGCTCTAATATTAGTTTACTATTAACTTCCTGGTTTTTTGTTTGTACGTTGATGTCATAACTAGAAAAATTATTCAACTATAAACAAACGAAATAATTAATTCACTCCTGTCAAACTAGTGTTTTGATCGTGAGTTCAAACTGCTTTAGTATATGTAGTATGATTAGCTCATCATTGTAATTTTAAGCGCGTCTCGATGAAGTTGTAATTTATTAAAAATGTTTATTTTAAAGTTCATTCTATTCATTAGTTTATTTGTTTATTACGTGAAAAGTGATAATGTGATTAAAAAAATAAATAAAGACGCTACAAGCAAGAATGAACCATCAGTAGAAATTCATAATATACCTGTGGTTGTAGTTTTGGAAGAAGAAAATCGTAAAGGGAAATCTGCAGATATTAATGTAAGCAAAATCATATCTAAAAATGATCTACTAAACCATAATGATTCCAAATCTACAACAGAAATCAGTGAAACTAAAACTGATAAACCTACGATTAACTCTGACAGTTATAACAAATCTACACAAGTAGAAAAGAACAGTGAAGATAAATCAATAAATATAAATAATTCGTCGTCTAAAGACTCTATTATTATAAACACAGTTTCAAATACAGAAACTGAAATTCGAATTCCTATTGCTATAATATACGACCCTGAACCTGAAAATCTTTTAAGCTTGCATAAAACCCAATCAAACCAGAAGCGCCAAAGTAGAAGAAAGGATATTGAAAACAAGAATCGTACTAGTCTTGAAACAAGAGCAAAACTAGAAATGCAGTCAGAAGGCCAGAATATGAGCCGTAAATTTAGTAAAAGAATTCGTGAACGTGATCCTGTCGTACCAATAGTTCAATCGGAGAATTATGTCTTTTCACATAATGGTGAATTTCATTACAGGTACCTATTACATGAAATAATTATTTTGAAATCCTTATATAAAAGTAGAAATAATTTAAAGAATATTTATAATGTTACAGTTACGAGGGTGGTGACGGTACCAAAGCCTTTGAAAAGGGTGAACTGAAGTCTATAGATGACAACACAGGGGAATCAGTTGTTGGTAGCTTCTCATACGTTGTAAGTACTTATTTACGCATAAATTATAATCATACCGAGATTATTGTTTGCCTTGACTAAAGTTTGTCGTTCGTTTTAAGTGATAGACTGACAGCATACTTATAGTAGATAAATAAAATACATCATATAACGTTAATACATCATATACTTTCTTTAAAGAAACTATTCTTACACAGCAGACTGGAACTTTACGTTGCAGGATAGTCTGCCGCTCCGCCAAAAAGACATTTAACAGAATTTGATTATTAAATACAACACTGTTACAATGGAATGATGTCATAAGCCTCTCTTTCTCAATTTATTGGAACTAATGACTAATGTGGGTTTATACTTGTACACACAAAATGCACAGTCAATAAATTTCATTTCTAGCATTAATAAATTAGTTTATTATGTTATAACAAAGCTTCTCAAATTAGGCAAGTATAAACGCAGACATTTTTACGTTAGGTCATATTGCAAACAATAACAATTAATGGATACCGGAAACGATTATTTTTTATTTACGCTGTCAATAGTTATTTTAAATTACTTTTTATGTTACAGTACAAACTCGTTTAATTGTAATACTCTTTTTTTGTCATAGTCAAGTTTATAATCATAAGGTCCGTAATACCAGAAGAAATTATTGAATAACTAGATGTTACGCGACTTTGCCTAATTATAGCCTATATCACCCATGTTCAACTGCAGATGCAGTCATAACCAACGGTTTGACGTGTCTTCCGAAGCACGGAGGTGCTCAAGATAATATATTTTGGTCACCCATCCCGTGGCAGGTGTTTGTGAAAGTTGCTTAACTTTTCCATCGCACCGGGCCAATAACTTCACCATTTGAGCTCCTCTATTTAATCATTATCTGTTGTAAAATTATAAATAAACAATTTCATTATCATTCCGTGCTCAAACCAACAATAACAATGTCATGTTTCTTAATTCTATTTTATTTTTCCATGTTTAAATGTGTTAAATAATAAAAAGCTTATGTAAAATTTTAACACAAAAGAGTATTTGATTTATTATTGGAAAACAAAAAGGCAAAATTGAAGGTTTTTTATAAGTTGTTTATCATTTATATTAATTCTTTTGTCTCTACGTGAAATAAATTTCCACATCTATGTATCAAAAAAAGTTTCTTATTCAAATATTACGTACGGGTTTCTCATAGGATTACTAAATGCCTTCTTCGTTGGTTAATAAGAGTAAAGTGAAATTAAAAACAAATTAATCTTCCTAAATAATTAAATACATATTTTCTAAGTAATAAAAACTAAACTTTTACTTCGGTTTCAGGGCAAGGATGGCAACGAATACAGTCTCACGTATACTGCTGACGAGAACGGGTACCGGCCAGTAGGTGCTCATCTACCAACTCCTCCCCCCATACCGCCTGCAATAGCACGTGCTTTAAAGTATCTAGCAACAAAATCGACTCCAGAACCAGTGACAGAATCTTTAAAATGAAACCTATTTACCCTTAATAACTATCGTCGATTATTAACCATAGAAACCCTATAGAGTTTTCACCTCTTTCATTAACAAGAAGCTTGCGATCTGTAACAGTAGTATTATTCGTAGGTTAATTTTTTTCCACATAATAGAAAAGTGTTATACATAAATATTTTTGTTGATTAAACGGTTTTATTGTAACCCAATTATCCAATACCAACTATAATAATATAAAAATTTTACCTTACAATAAAATTTGTATTATGTTTCCTCCTGACGTCCGAAGTCCATTATGGGAGAGTACATCGTTTTCTTACTTTTTATTTCCTGTAATGTCGCTATCTCCAGTTCCGTTTCCGCTGTACGTCCGCAGCGCCCCCTAGCGCCCTTAAGAAAAACTTTCTCCCGCCAAAGACAAGCCGCCATATTTGTCATTGTTCGGCTCATAATGGTGATAATGTTAACCACCAGGAAGACATTATGTGGACTTCGGACGTCAGGAGGAAACATAATACAAATTTTATTGTAAGGTAAAATTTTTATATTATGTGTTCCGTTAGACGTCCGAAGTCCATTATGAGAGAGTTGTTTGTTATCTCCTGGTGGCTTGTAAGGAATGTAATAAAGTGCAACAATGTGATAATTGAAAGTATTGTATTAATTACCAATCAGGGTTATATAAACATTAAGAATTACGTTACATAGAATAGATTTAAATTAAATAAAGAATTTAATCATTAGAAAATAATAGAGAGAGAGATTGTTCATCAGTCACGTTATCATTATTGGATTCGATTTGTCTTAGATAGAACTTTCTAAAAGTTTGTTCGTGCTTCCAGTTAGCTTTTGCTAAAATATCGTTAATAGAGTAATTTTCCATCCAATTTAAGGATGCCACCGCCGACCTAAAACTGCCAGCTGATGCTTGCACTCCAGCTTCCGATAGAAGGTGCTTAAGCCAGTTTCCTATAACTGTACGAGATGCAGGCTTAGGGGTGCCTTTAGTGGTTATAAATAAGTTTGTAATTGGTCCACGGATATCATTAGTCAGATTTTTTAATATTCTGAGCCAACGCAATGGATCTATGTTGTTATCGGGAGAAGAAAGAAGAGTCCAGTTAGACTGTTTATAATTGGCGGAGTCTGTTTTTGAACCGAAAGCGGGAATTAATGTAATTGAATTTTGATTATCTATGAAATGACTATCATCACAATGCAAAAGAGTAAGATCATGGACTCTTCTTCCTGAGGCTAGTAAGAGGATTGCTGCTACGCGCCTAGAGACATCATAAAGGCTGTCAGGATTAGGTAACATATTTTTTAAGAAATTAATGAGAATTCGAGCGTCCCATATAGGAGCTTTAGGCTGCACTGGTTTCGATAAAGATATTGCTTTCAGAATATGCCGAACTATGTGACTGGATGAAATTTTTGTGTCTGATGAAGTTTCACAAATGGAAGCAATAACAGACTTGTAAACAAGAATGGTTCGGTAAGCTAAACGATGAACTAGATGTAGACATGCCAAAAATCTAGCTACGTCTGTAGGCATGGGCGAATAAGAATTAATATTTTTATCCTGACACCAAGCAGACCATTTGTTCCAAATTGGGATATAAGTTTTCATTGTCGAAGCTCTCCAACAAGATTTTAGTAGATCTTTTTCTTCCGGTGACCAATTTACAGTCAACGAATCCCACCCGAAATGAGCCAAGCTTCCAAATGTAGGTTGCTGACCCCTGGAGTTGCTCGGCCTGTAACTGTGTCCGTAAGGTAATGGTGAAGGTTGATTATCTTTCGAGGACGGGTCAGGGATCTGTTTTTCAGGTCGGGTCTCCAGAAGGGCTTCTTCCACTTGGGTGCTATTATTACGAATCGACCTCGGGCTGTGTTCAAGTGACTGAGTACTCGAGGTATTAAGCCTGGTGGCGCGAAAATCCATGCCAGTTCGTAGTCCCAAATCCTGCTGAAGGCGTCGTGAAAGCATGCGTTCGAGTCTGATAAGTCTAGTGTAGCATAATTCGGCACGACGTGAGCTGTCTGAGAAGCGAATAAGTCGATTTCCGGCACTCCCCATCTTTGAAATATATCTAGTGTAGCTTTGCCTTGAAGTGACCACTCTGCGCCGGTTTGGTTCCTCGACAGGTGATCGGCTTCGGTGTTGTATATTCCTGGAAGATGATAAGGGAGTAGTATAATATTGAGGTTGTCTGTTAGGGTTAGCAACTTCTTTGTCAGATCCAATAATTTTTGTGACTTCGTTCCGCCCTCGTTTTTTATGTAAGATATTACTGTTTTGTTGTCTGTTTGAAACAAAATTTTCGAGTTTTTCAGGTTCGTGGCGTGTGCTGAAATCGCAGCTATCACCGCGTACATTTCTTTCATATTGCAATGCCAAGATTTCTGATGATTCTCCCAGGGCCTCTGTACACTGATGTTGTTGACTAGAGCACCCCATTGGATATTCGAAGCATCCGTGATTAAGTAATTTGTAACAGGTTTCTTCAGATGGATGGGTGTTTTTAAATGTACATTTTCCAGCCACCATTCCAGCTCTATGATTGCATCGGCGGTGAGCTGACAATGCTTGCTCATGGCACGGCGAAGCTGGTTGCTGTGACGCTGCAAAGTTCGGCAATGCAACCTTCCCCGGTGGGTGATGAAGGAAGCAAAATTGAGGTGCCCTAAGAGACATTGCGCCTGCTTGAGGGACCAACTGCCTGCAGCGAGTCGAGTCAATAAAATTTGGCGCAGCTTCGCCAGCTTTTTCGGCGGAAGGGATTTCGTATTGTGGTGAATATCCCAAGCGATTCCAAGAAATTCGATCGATTGTGTAGGTTTTGTGATCGACTTTTCTTTGTTGATTGACCAGCCTAGATAAGTTAAGAATTTGATGGCTGTTGATACGTGAGTCTCTAAGACCTTTCTGTTCTGGTGAACCAACAAAAAGTCGTCGAGATATACTACAAGGCGCATTCCCATTACTCGTAGCTTTTCTGCAACCCAATTCGTCACTGACGCGAATAACCGAGGAGCCGCAGCTAGTCCAAACGGTAGACACGTCATTTGAAGTAGCTGTCCGTTGTAGCTGACGCGGAGATAAGGTCGATGCTCTGGGCTTATTGGCAGATGAAAGTAAGCCTGGTGGAGATCTAACTTCACCATCCAGTCGAATGGTTGAAGAAACTCGTGCATGTGATGGTGATTGAAGAGACGAAATGGTTTGGGATCCATGAAACGATTTAAGGCTTTCAAGTTCAAAATTATGCGGGACTTTCCGTTTGATTTATAACTAGGAACATTGGTGAAATGAAGGAGGGTGTCAGAGGAGCTATTTCCAAAACCTTCTTCTTGATGAGTATATTTATCTCCAGCGACATTGCTTGCGAAATCGGAGTTTGAAAATTTTTCATTAGTTCTAAGCTCGGCAATACCAGAGGGGCGTGACTTTTGAAAGGAATTCGAGTTCCAGTTATTAAACTTAGTATCGTTTTCGGTGGGTATAACCGGGACCAATTCTTGTGGAAGAACCTCAAACATCCCCCCGTAAACGTGACCGAGTCATTTTCTTTTATTATGATGTCTTTTACTGGTTCTATCTTTCCGTCCGCCTCTTCTATTTCTAGAGAAATCTTCGAAGGGTTTTTGCGAACTACCGGTTTCTCTTTGCCCATTACGCTTCTTATTGGTGACTCGAAATGGCTTGTTCTCGAACGACGTTGAGGGAGGGAGATTTTGGCCTAGGCTGTTTTGTGTTACGATTTCCCACTTTTTCTATTTTATCCAGTCCTCCAATTTTTTGTATGTAAGACGATAATTGTTGAGGGTTAAACATATATTCGCAAGACGGAGGAATTTTCTCTAGATCTTCTCGAATATATTTATCTTTTACGGATTTCAGTAGTGTACGACGTCGTAGTTCAAGAACTTCCGCTCTTTTCCCACAAATAATTTGTAAGATATCGTGAGATACATTCTTATATGCCGAGTCGTTTCCAAATAAATCCTTCAGTTTTGAATAAAGACTCGACGGTGTCATTTGCACATTAGATGTGGCAGACCAGTCAATCAGGTTTTGTAAAGCTGAATTTACCGATTCATTTTGTGCTAGAAATGCGTTCGATAGTGTCGCAAAACTACGTTCCATTTGAAACCATCTTAAAGGAGCGAAGGGGTCTTCTAAACGTCGCATTTCTTCATTTATTTTTAATTCGATGAAGGCGGGGGTAGCAATATATTTTTTCTGAATGTCCGAATATCGCACTGAATTCCAATCAGGTGAATCAAATCTTTGCATGGAAGAAATTTTTGCTAATCTTTCCGGATTTGCCTTAGATATCGAGGGTTCTTTAACGGATACATCTAATTCTGCTATGTCACCTAACTTTGAAACCGTTTCTACAGGAGGACGCAAAAAGCTCTCGTTTTCTATACCTAAATTTTCATTTGGGATTTCAAGGTTTGGAACTATTGTACGAGGCATAGAATTAATCTGCGTATAATTTGACAGTAAAAAACTATTCACGTGACTCACCAGTTGTTGAGATAGTATGTCAAACCTGCGATCCAAATCGGAGCTATCTATTATTCGGTCAGGTTGAGCCACCGACTTCTTCTTTTTAGCCGGCGGGGGACTCGCCTCGCGCGAAGCATCCGATGAAGATCCCCGCGACGATGAAGAACTTTGGGAACTTCTTCGAGGTGAATTTTTATCACTCATGATGTGAAGGTATCCACTACGCGGTTATAAAAAAAAAAAATACGGAACGGAGACACTTTTTTTCAAATAAATATTTGAAATAACACTTTATTTTATGTCACACGACACCAAAAACATAGAATTCTCTACTTTAATCTCGAAAATTCTTAAATTTTTCGCGACATTGATAAAATGCTCCAACCGTTGAAAAAAACGACGCAACAATGACAAATATGGCGGCTTGTCTTTGGCGGGAGAAAGTTTTTCTTAAGGGCGCTAGGGGGCGCTGCGGACGTACAGCGGAAACGGAACTGGAGATAGCGACATTACAGGAAATAAAAAGTAAGAAAACGATGTACTCTCCCATAATGGACTTCGGACGTCTAACGGAACACATAATAAAAACTTGCATGCGA